CTATAGCCATCTTCAGAAAAGCTAAACTCATGAAATCAAGCCCTCGTTTGATTCTGAAAAAGGGATATAAAACATTTTTGTGAGCAAGCTTTCCATCATGATTTATGGCTGTTTGATTGTTCAAGAATATCGCTGTTTGATGATGTAGAATTGGCCTGGAAATATTTTTATGATGCGTTTAACTTTTTTATTAATAAACATGCCCCTCTTCGTAAATTTCGAGTAAAGGGTAGAAATAATCCCTGGTTCATGGCTGAGCTGTCTAATTTGTTCAAAGATCGAGATAATGCTTGGGCCAAGGCCATGCATTCTAAAACTCAAAATGATTGGCTGGTATTCAAGAAATTGAGAAATTGCTTTACTTCCTTTGTTAAAAAGGCAAAATCCCAGTTTTATGTTGATAAAACTACTCAAAATTTAAATGACCCCAAGAAATTTTGGAAAGTGATTAAATCCTCATTCAGAGATGAAATATCTAGCGAATTACCTACTTGTATTATTAAGGGTTCACAAAACATAACTGACAAAGTAGCTATTCTTAACTGTTTCAATGAATATTTCATTTCCTCATGATCCTTGTTTGAATCATTGCTTCCACAAAGGCTAAATGTGCAAGAAGATTTCTCTCAAGCACACTTGAGTGATTCAGTTCAAGGATTTAGTTTTGCCCCTTTTGATGTAACTGAAGTTCATAGAACTTTACAACAATTAGATCCTTGTAAATCTGCTGGACTTGACAAACTCGAGCCCTTTTTTTTGAGGGCAGCTGCAGACGTTATAGCCGAACCTCTATGTTACATCTTTAACTTAACTCTTGCTGAAAATAAGATTCCTTGGCACCTTGTTAAAAGGTGGCAATCCATCTGTAGTCAACAACTACAGACCGATCTCTAAATTGTGTGTACTTTCCAAAGTTCTGGAAAATTTTATCGCAGAACAGCTGAAAACATTTTTAGATTAAACAGGCCTACTCTCACAACACCAATCAGGTTTTTGAAAAAAGCACAGTACAACTGCTGCTCTTAAAGTGGTAAATGACATTATAGATGATGGCCGAAAATATTGTGCAACTCTTTTTGTTGACCTTTCTAAAGCATTTGACACTAGATCATGTCATCCTGATGAATCGACTCTACAAAAGTGGGTTATCTGTCCAGGCTGTTAACTGGTTCTCCAACTATTTATCTGATAGAACTCAATGTGTCCAAGCGGCTGGGTCTTGTTCCTCCCTCCTTCCTATTTTAAAGGGAGTTCCTCAAGGCTCCTTACTAGGTCCTTTGTTGTTCACAATTTATGTAAACAATTTGTGCGATAACTTGCCTGATGCTAAAGCTCATCTATATGCTGATGATACAGTTATTTACTGTTCATCATCTTCAGTTTCACAATCATTTAAACTGCTACAATCTGCATTTGATACTGTTCAGTCCTGTCTGGCTGGGCTTAAGCTGGTTTTGAATGCAGAAAAATCAAAGGCTATGCTATTTTCAAATGGTAAGCAGCTTTCACCTAACCTCCCTAGCTTGTTAACTATTCAGGGGGCTGAAATTGAACTTGTCAGGTGCTTCAAATATTGAGGTATTTTGATTGATGAGCATCTATCCTTTAAATCTCATATTGATAAACTGATTTCTAAACTAAAACTTAGGGTTTTTTTTTAGAAACAAAAAGTGTTTCTCACACCAAGTTAGAAGGCACCTGATTGTTTAAACTATTCTGCCCCTGGTAGATTATGTAGGTCTGCTATTTATGAACTCTTCAGCCCAGTTTTGAAAAAAATGGATGCTGTTTATCATTGTGCCCTCCGTTTTATGACTGACTGTGGTAATCAAACACATCACTGCACTTTGTATGCTACAGCAAAATGTCCCTCTATGACTGACCGCAGACTTTCTCACTTGTTGTTTTTTGTCTACAGGTCCTTCTCAAAAAATTAGCATATTGTGATAAAGGTCATTATTTTCCATAATGTAATGATAAAAATGAAACTTTCATATATTTCAGATTCATTGCACACCAACTGAAATATTTCAGGTCTTTAATTGTTTTAATACTGATGATTATGGCATACAGCTCATGAAAACCCAAAATGCCTGTCCCAAAAAATTAGCATATCATGAAAAGTTTCTCTAAACAAGCTATTAACCTAACCATCTGAATCAACGATGTAACTCTAAACACCTGCAAAAGATTACTGAGTCTTTTAAAAACTCCCAGCCTTGTTCATTACTCAAAACAGCAATCATGGGTAAGACTGCCGACCTGACTGCTGTCCAGAAGGCCATCATTGACACCCTCAAGCAAGAGGGTAAGACACAGAAAGAAATTGCTGAACGAATAGGCTGTTCCCAGAGTGCTGTATCAAGGCACCTCAGTGGGAAGTCTGTGGGAAGGGAAAAGTGTGGCAGAAAACGCTGCACAATGAGAAGAGGTGACCGGACCCTGAGGAGGATTGTGGAGAAGGGCCGATTCCAGACCTTGGGGGACCTGCGGAAGCAGTGGACTGAGTCTGGAGTAGAAACATCCAGAGGCACTGTGCACAGGCATGTGCAGGAAATGGGCTACAGGTGCCGTAATCCCCAGGTCAAGACACTTTTGAACAAGAGACTGCGTCAGAAGCATCTCGCCTGGGACTGCTGCTGAGTGGTCCAAAGTTATGTTCTCTGATTACAGTAAATTTTGCATTTCCTTTGGAAATCAAGGTCCCAGAGTCTGGAGGAAGAGAGGAGACACAGAATTCACATTGCTTGAGGTCCAGTGTCAAGTTTCCACAGTCACTGGGGTGCCATGTCAGCTGCTGGTGTTGGTCCACTGTGTTATATCAAGGGCAGGGTCAATGCAGCTAGCTATCAGGAGATTTTGGAGCACTTCATGCTTCCATCTGCTGAAAAGCTTTATGGAGATGAAGATTTCATTTTTCAGCATGACCTGGCACCTGCTCACAGTGCCAAAACCACTGGTAAATGGTTTAC